GCAACTGATCGGCATTGTCCAGGGAGCCCAACTCCCAAACGTTCATGACTTGCGGCGTTCTGCCACTGCCAATGCGGCGCCCAAAGCTGTACTCTAGTGCCAAAGTGGGACGCGTTGTGTGCTCCTCCCGATCAAAGAACTTGTTGATGGCGGTTGATTTGCCCTGTAGAAACAACTGAGATATATTTTCCATGTCCCGAAGCGGCGTATGCCCCCTTCCCTTACCACACATTTGCTGCCCAGCACCAGCAATGTCCGCTCCTTCGGCATTGAGCTGGCCTCCAGCTGCCGCAGGCGCTGCTGCTCCTCCGCCAATCGACCGGCAATGTCCTGGATGCTGGGCGTGGCATTATCACCACCTTCTGTGCTCTTTTCAAACATTCGCCGTAGACGTTTGTGCCAACTGTGAAAGATTTGCGGCAAGCGCATTGCATGAAGAGAAAATTACTAAAAGACATTTCGTTTTGTTTTGGTTTTAAAAGTACTGTTGTCCTGACAACTATTTTGAAGATGTGGCAACGCCACAAGGCTTAATGCGTGGCAAAAGAACCGTTTGAATATTTTTAAGTTTACATTTAAAGGGGAAGTCCTTGCAATTACCCTCCACAAGCATTATCCCACTATACCACTGTTTATAATCAGTTTATAATTAATCAATTAATAATTATTAACTATCTTTTTTAGTTTAATCATAAGCCTTCTTCCATCCTTCCAACTTTAATCTTAATTATTACAAAAAGTGCAAAATCCTTTCTGCGTTTTCTCGGGCGGAACATACATATTATGACTCAAATATACAAATTGCAAAACAAACAAAAATATTCATACGTAGATTAAGGATTAAGAGGGTTATAGATAACTCAATACAGGACTCGATAAAACAAGGATAACGTTGCAAAGGGTGAGGGGAGCATGGGTTAGGGTTACGGGGTCCATGGGTATAACAAACAATGTAGATGCAATGATGCTTCTTGGAATACTTCAATAGAGCCAGATGTCCTCGAGAATGCCATTGTCCAGCTGTGGCGCTGGCAGTGCCTTCAGCGTGCGCAGTGTCTCCATGTAAAAGGTGAGCTCTGAGGTGACGACTCCATGCTGCGGACCCCCATTGTTGTTGATGTTCAGCTTGAGGAGCTGCTCTCTCAGGCGATCCTTGAAGTTGCGATGCATCACGCCGTAGATCTCGTGGATTTGCGCCTCGGGCAGCACACCCGCAATGGCCTCGTGCAGCTTGACCAGATGCCGCGAAATGTGGCGAAAGGTTTGCGAGGGTATGGGCGGACGCGCCTCCCAGGCCTCCAGCTGCGCGGCCACGCGCTCCGACACAATGCCGTGGATCTTGTTCTCGATCTCCTTGATGTGGCCCTGGTAGTCGCGTTCGATGGCCTCGTAGCCGCTCATCGTATGAAAGTGTGCCTTGAGGCGCGGCAGCAGCCACAGCACGAGCTGCAGAGCACGCGACACCAACGCCAGATTGGTGCTAGTTATGGTCTTCAGTCCTGCAACCCGCATGGCGCCCGCACCGATGATAAGCTGACAGCTGCGCGAGTTGAAGCAACGCAGGAGATCCACTACGTTGCGCGAATGATAGCTGGCAAGGAGCGGCAGACGATGGGCACTGCCCCCGTACTCGTACAACATTTGGATGAGCATCAGCGAGGCACTGACCAATGCATACGGCTGCTTACCCTCGAGCAGCAGCACGGGATTGCCGCCGCCGTTGCTGATGAGCGAGCCCTCCGGCTTGGCATAGTCGCCCGAGGACATTCGCTCGATGATGCGCTGGAATTCATGCGGTATATCCACCTGGCGCCATCTCTCCTGGTCGAGGAGCAGCGACAGTTTGTGCTTGTGCTCGGAATGAAAACGCTGCGCGTAGCGGGAGGCCTGCACCTTGAGTGCAAGCTGCAGTGGCACGCTGGACACACCACAGATGCTTTTCGTGGTCTCGCTGAACTGCTCTACGATTTCCGACAGCTGCGAGAGCTCCTGCTCGCTGGCCGAACTCCGCTCAAGGCTCTGGGGCGAAACGATGTTGGCACAACGCTCGTGGCAGTAATGGCAGACGGCCTGTAGCAGCAACTGAAGCTGTGAGCGCAGCTGCTCGTGGTGGCTGGCACTGAGGAAGGCCTCCGAATCAATCAGATTGACTGTGTCCTGCGCCCCAACGGCGGCATCGGCTGTCTGCTGCATTATCCCAACCACAGCCTTGATACGCTCTAGAATGGAGGTCAGCGCTTGGCTGGAACGCTGCAGCAGGGCGATCCACTCGGGCAGGGTCAGCTCTAGGGCCTGTTCGCCGGCGCCCGTCAGGCTGATCTCCTGGTCGCTGTCGCTGCGCGACAAAACTTCGATGAGCAGCTGCTTGATGATGGCTCGAATGGTGGCGATGGCCTCCTGCTGGTACGACTGCACAAAGGAAAAGTTCTGCTTGCGCAGCAGCCCCATCACAATGGCCACCAGCTTGTCCTCCTCCGCGCACACGCTATCCGTCTCTAGTAGTCCCTCCGGCGTCAGGGGTCTGTTGAGGTCGGAGGCGGCATAACGCTCAAACTCCGTCGTCAGCATTTTATCGATGAGCTTCTCCATCTCGCTGAGCTGCATGGGCAGATGCTTGAAGCAGTGCACGCCCAGCAGCTCCGCCGACAGAATCTCCTGCGTCGTGCCAATGAGGTCGAGTGCCGCCACATAGTCCTGTGTGCCCAGGAGCAGCTGCAGCATGGGCTGCGTCTTGTGCACCGTGGCCATTAGCCGGAGCTTATCGAGGGTTAAATTGTAGTGCTGCCGGCGTTTCGCATAGCGCAGTACCTTAAAGCTATCCACCACGGAGCTGTTGTGCAGCTGGGCGAGGGCCGAACGCAGTTGCCGCACCTGCTCAGCCGCCTGTTCCATCTCCGCGAGGATGGCGTGCTGCGTGGTCATGGCATGGAAGAAGGCCGCTGACTTCTGGGACACCTGCTGTGCTATCTTCACCTCCACAACGTCCAGATACTGACTGAGCTGCTCCTGCAGCTGCCGTCCCGTCTGCTGGTGCGTGGCCGGACTCGAGTCCGAGGATTGCATGAGGTCAGGAAAGACCTGCTTGAAGGTGGGCGCATGATGCAGCTGCAGCTGCGACTTGAGGAATATATCCGGCACAGAACTCAAATGCGTGGGACTGCCAATGGAGCTGCCGCCAGTGCCATTCTCCAGCGGTATGTCCCGCTGCAGCTGCTGCTGCCGTCGCTCGTGCCAGCGATAGCGCTTCCCAATGCTGCCCAAATACACGGCAAAGTCCGCATGGGTGATGTCCGGCAGTCTGGCGGATGCCGGCACATGCGTGCGCTCCACAAACTGTTCTCCCCACTTTTTGGTAAACAAATTGCTCTGCTTGCCACGTGATGGATCATTGAGGACGGCCGGCAGATTCTGCGCCGCCGAATAGACTCCCCACTCGGGCGGCATCTCACGGGTCAACTGATTCACGTGATACTTGGACACATGTGCATCGTAATCCCGATCCGAGACACCATCCAGCGGCAGTGAGGCACACACACCATTGAAGCCATATCGGCACACAAAAGAGCCGCCTTCACGAGTACAATGACGATTACGCAGGTGACTAAAATGGATAAATGGATGAGTAATGTTTTTATTGTACACTACACTGATGTCTACGCACGTGACAAACTCTTGTATGCTCTTGAAATGCTCTCTTGTGCAGTAGTAGCAGCTATGCCAGCTGGCTGCAGGTGCTCCGCTAAGAATTCCTCCAGTGCTGGCTGTGGAGTGCTTCCTGCTGTTCCCCTGATGCTGCTGTCCGTTTCCTGTCTCAGCATCTCCCTGGGTTCGCGTTGTGGCCATAACACATACTTTTTGCTACCAAATCCCTCGCCGTATGGTCTGTTGTTGCTGACTGCTGTGGCTTCCTCTCCGCCACTCAATCGTTGACGTGTTATGTCAATATTTGCTTTCTGCCTGTTTTGTGCAGTCCATTAAGGCCAAATGTTGCATTTTGGGCCCTGTCCCTTGGCTTCACTCTCATTGGCTATGAATGGGTGCTGTAGCTCGCATATTTATCGTTGATTTTCAGTGGTTTTACATTAATTGAGCAATTTGTAAATGGAACAATATTTTGATGACGTACTGCAGTGTTGAAAAGCGCGAAAAGTGGGCAGCGACACCTACGTTAGGGCGTACACGTTAACTTGTGCATGAGTTTGTTGAATGATTGGATTATTATATGTTGGTTTATTGTTTCAATCCTTTTTATTGATTATCCGTCCAAAATGTGGGCAAACGTTAATACTGTGACATTTCATGCTAGAAGTATCTTCTATCATACGATAGTTCTGCGAACAAGAACTATTAGGGAGCCAGATCGCGAGTGAACCTGACATAAGCGACGGTTCGAAGAATCATTTTTACGCAAAAGCTCGCATCGGGAAGACCGTGAAATTTGAGAAGAATTTAATTGAAGAAATTATAAAACTGTGACTGCACATCAACTAATATATATTTTTCAGCAAAAGTGAAATAAGAGACAAAATTTTCATATATTCACAATTTTCAGTTCTGTTTGCATACCAAATATAAATAGTGATAAAACAAGCTGTGGAAATTTTTCTGTGCATTGAATGTAAACAAACTTGCAACTTAAACCCTTTCCGTGCATGGTACGTCGCGGTACGTGTGTAATACGACGCTCGCCGACAGAAAGACGTTTTACAACACTAACAGCTGTTGTGACTGAAAATTGCAAACTAAAACCGGCAAACAGGGCGGCGGCATTTTTTTCAAGTTTCAGTCACATTCTTTACGGTATATTAAATACTTTTCGGGATATTTTAACTGCTCAAATGAGTTCAATATATATTTAAGTTTATCGGTATATAATTTGGATAAAAATATATTTTTAATTTTAGCCGAATACCAGAATCGTGTAAATTGATATAGTATATTCGGCATATTTTTAAAATGTGTTTTTATATTTTGGTATATTTTTGAGGGTTCTGCGGTCACACTGGTCGGCACCCTGTTGTTTTGAAATTGCAGAAAATTAAAAATTAACGAAAAAGACGATATTTTGGAGTGAACGCAGCCATGCGGCTGGCACGCCGTTGGATCCTTTTCTTCACGTGCCTGTTACTCGCCTTTTGGGTGCTTCTGTTCGCCTGTTGGCAGATGCTCGAGCGGTGGGATTCTGGAAGTGGAAAATCCTCGGATCCCATTGAGGTGTTGTGGTGGCCGCAGGAGATGCCCTGGCCGTACGACGAGGAGCGAAGATGCGGCGTCTTCGAGTGCCGCTTTACCAACAGTCGTGACCGTTTGCACCTTGTGCGGGTTAGTCCAACAATTACAGCCCATCCCGCTGATAAGCAAAGAAAAAGTGAAAAAGAGAGACAGAAAACAGAGATTCTAATTACTCATAATTTTTTCAGGCAGTTCTCTTTTATGGCTCGTATCTAACTACGGCGGACTTTCCGCTGCCACGTAGCCCCCACCATGTGTGGGCACTGCTGCACGAGGAGTCGCCCAGGAACGTCCCCTTTCTGCCCTTTGATGACTTTCTGCAGCACTTTAACTTTACGTCCACCTTTAGCCGCTACAGCGATATGTCACTGACGACCCAGTGGCTGCCCAGCGCCCAGGATCTCACCTCGATGGACTATGTTATGTCGTTTGACTACAAGTCATCGAATGTGAACGGACCGTCGCCATCGGTGGTGTTTCTGCAGAGTGACTGCAACACCATGTCCGGCCGCGAGGACTACATGAAGGAGCTGATGCTACACATCTCGGTGGACTCGTTTGGCAGTTGTCTGCGCAACAAAGATCTGCCCAAGAGGCAAGTACAAATATAAGAGAACCAAAGGCGGCCACTCGATAAACATTTCACACAAACTCATTCATTCATTCACTCACTCGCTCCGACAATCGTCGCTCAGTCTCAGCTCAGTTTCGTTTCCCAAAACTTTAAATATTCAAAAATATATTTAAAGAGGAATATTTCACCAAGATGGCACCTTCCAATCGCGACAGCAAGAAGCCGCCTAACAAGAAATCGCCGAAAAAGAAGAAGCCGAAGCCTGCTACTTCCAAGAAAAAGGCCACCAAGCAGCCAGACGAGCCGCAGGCAGAGGAGCCGCTAGCGGAGATCTGCTGCCGCGAGTGCTGGTTTGAGAAGTTCCGCGAATTGCCGGGCACATCTGCAACCGCTGACGTTGCCGGTGCCGCCACGGAGCAGCACTCAACTGGCTGCTCAAAGTGCCTGACAAATATTGAGCCTGATGAAGGGGAAACTTCTACTTCGTCGCTCCCTAGCGTACCTGCCAGCATTGTGACAGTTGTCACAGTGCAATCTGAGTCTCTTAGACCTGTGCAGGAGGACCACTACAAAGCGATCATTGAGCGTTTGATAAGCCAGCGCAGTGCTATGAGTGCGATACCATCCAACTCAAGCGTGAGCCAGGCAACATCCAACTCAAGCTTGAGCCAGACAATATCTAACTCAAGCATGAGGCAGATAGCATCTACGGATTCCTTGCTTGATTCGATGGGATTCACAACAGGCACTGAGTCCAGCACATCGCTGGACTCAAACTATTCGCTTGATATGAATGAAGATGGACAGCGCCTACCCAAGCGTCGTCGCCTTGAGGGGCGCCATGCGTGCCAGGGCAAGGAGTGCCAGAAATGTCTGGAAGCAAAGAAAAATCAAGACCTTTTGGTGGCTTTCTTTGAGCCAGAGAAACGAAATCGTCTCTGGAAAGACAGCGACGAAGAATCAAACTGAATCAAACCCACCCACAAACAACACACACAAAGAACATAAACAGACATAAAAATGTACATCAAAATTAGTTGCAGCTGCAAATGTTTTTAAGCACCAAAATTGATAAGTTTCGTTGTTGTTGTTTTCGCAGACTGCAAGTTGATTATCTAAACAATTTGTATTCAACGGAAATGCTGCGCTTTTTGTCCAAATATAAATTTATGATTGCCATTGAGAATGCCGTGTGCGAGGATTATATAACCGAAAAGTTTTGGCGTCCCTTGGTAATTGGCGTCATCCCCATATACTTTGGTTCGCCCAGCATTAAAGTGAGTAGAGAATGAGTGGAGTAGGCTCCATTCCTGATTCCTAATACTATCCCCCCGTTTCAGGACTGGCAGCCGCAACAGAAATCTGCCATATTTGTCGATGATTTCCCGAATGCCGCCGCCTTGGGCAAGTTTTTGTTGGAGTTATCTGAAAACAAAACCGAATACAACTCGTATCGCGGCCACAAACTGAATCGCAGTCATCCCATACAAAACCAAAAATTACTTCACGATTTAATTACGCGTCGCACGCACATGGGTGACCAATCGGTGACCCGTGCGTTTGAGTGTGCCGTCTGCAAGCACGTGAATTATCGCCGCGTTGGCAGCAAGCGCGCGAATCTGCGCCACTACAATTGTCCGTTGAAGCCAATCTATGCGCCGTTGGAGAGCAAGAAGGAGCCGGAGTACGCGAAGGACTGGCGCTCGTCCATGCTGGTGGGTCGCTGCGAGGCGCGCATTATGGATGCTTTTCTACGCTCAAATGTGCCCTACAGCGATGGGGATTTTGAAGTAGAACTCGACATCAGAGTCGCCAACGATCAATGTGATTCGTTGCCAAAATTAGTTTGAGTTACTTTGGCTTACAAAAAAACACTAAACACGAGACACTGTTTCGGTTTCAGACTTGAGCTTTAAGAGCTCTAAGATAATCGAATAATTTGTGATAAATCTAACAATAAATGAAGCATCCAAGATGCTGACCAGATGTAAGGATCCTACTCTTGTGATTGAAGCATCTATTTAATCTGCATCATGTAATTATATTTTTAATTCATTGTTTTCCTAAAATTTAGATAGTATTGCCCCATCGGAGCACGTAGCAAAGATATCAGCTTCCCCTTCTGGTTCGCTGCACGGCTGCGAGTCCATGTTGACATCTTCATGCGGCTCATTGTGCTGCTCCTCATGCTGCACCCCATGCTGCTCCTCATGCTGCTCCTCATGCTGCTCCTCATGCTGCTCCTCATGCTGCTGCTGCTGTGGCTGTTCTTTCATCTGCTGATTTTGGAGTATATCTTTGAAGGCATCTTCCTCCTGTTTCTGTAGAGCTGCTGCCTCTGTCTCCTGCTTCTGTTTAGCTGCCTCTTCCTCTTCCTCCTGCTTCTGCTTTTGATCCTTGGCCGCCCGTTCTGCCTCCTCCTTCTCCTTTAACAGCAGGCGACTGCAAACCAAACGATAGCCTGGTGTAGCCCCCCCTTCGTACTGGGGATTGGGTGTGCGGCCCAGATTTCGCATCTCCCTGATGACCAACGTCTTATACGAAGCCCGAGGACTGTCACAGATCAGCATCTTGGATTGCGAGAATGGTCCATGCCGCACAGAGATACGCGGCTCGTAGGCAGCCTTTTCGATGACCTTTCGCGGCTTTCGAGGCACGGACTGAAGCTTGAAGGCGGGACGTGGTCGCGGTTTGCCGCAGCTGCGCTTGACAAACTTTTTCTTGGGCGTCTTGCGAATCGTCTTGTGGGTCAGCGGTGCACGTCGTGTATACGGCAAGGCGAGGGGTTCCTCGCGTAGTGGTCTATTACAGGACGAGCAGTAGAGGGGGTGTGCGGTATTGGGCTGCAGCTGCTCGTCGATGATAAACCTAAAGACGGGCTCGGACTCGGGAAGCAGTTCATCCATCTCCAGCGAGGGTCGGTGCATAATCTTGCATGTTTCCCGAGGTTTTGGAATCGATTTTGACTTACGAATTAGACGTCCTCCAGTGGTCTTGAATGTGACCTCCACTTCCCAGCCCTCCTGTGTGGCTCCCTGCTCCTCAATATGCCAATAGTTCTCATATTCCAGCTGTGGAGTATCCTTAGACGTGGATGACTCGATCTTCTGGTCACATGTGGCACACCAAAGCTGTGCAGCGGCTGCTTTATGCTCGCGTCGTGTCATGCTCTAATTTTGTAGCAAATACTAAGAGTATTTTGTGTGTTAAATAGTTTTGTGTTTAATAAAAATGTGTAAATGTTACTTTAAGTGAAACCAGTGTGGGAGTGTGTGGAATGTTGGGAATGACAGGCCTGGGTAAAGAGTTCTCCTACAAGGCTGACTTTGTGATGCAAAACTGTGAAAATTTGGGAATCAATCGACAACTATCTACTTTTTTCTCTCAAGGCGTAGCTTGTGCAACCGAGGTGCGCTGCTGCATTACTTGACTGAAGAATTTCTTCGATCTTGAAAACTTCAGCCCTAGACATGGGATTGTTATTCCTAAATGCCTACCAATTGTTGAAAAAAAAAACTACTAAATCTTCAGGAACTCCTTCCTCCCAAGTCGCAGCTTGTGCAACCGATGTGCGCTGCTGCATTACTTGACCAACAAATAACTTCGATAAAATCCTTTTATGCCGTTGCTCAAATATCAAAATTGCTTTATTTTCTGCACACTTTCTACATCTGCCAGTGTGTCATGGGCAACACTTCCTTCAGCTGACCCATATTGACCAGCCACATGCTGCCATTCTTCATCATTTCCATGGCCTTGATCATCTGCATGGCAGCCTCCTCGGGCATTTGTCGCTTGGCGCTCTCAATAGCCTCCACCAACGACTCGGAGTGGTGCCAGGTGACATTCTCACGGAGATTAGCCATCATCTCGGTGCTTGTGAGACCAGGACACATGGCCATGAACATAACCCCCGTCTTCTGGTAGATTACCTTGTCGCCCATGGAGCGGGTGAAGCCGAGAACGCCATGCTTGGCCGCGGCATACACCGCAAAGGTGGGTGCAGGCTCCAAGCCATAGACAGAGGACAGATTAATGACCATGCCGCCCATGCCCATTTGGGTCTTGTCCATGTAGGGCATAGCCGACATCGTCATCATGATCATGCCAGTCTGGGAAGGAGACAAAGAAGATTAGAGGGGGGACACTAGATTGTACTTTGAATCTCTTACCAAATTCATGCCCATTGTCGTCTCCACATCCTTGTCGAGCAGCACATCCTCGCCATTGATTAGCACATCAATGTGTCCCATCATTTGTCCCATTTTCAGCATCGTCTGCTCAATGCTCAGCTTGTCCATGAGATTCATTGGCATGAAGACAACCTTCACGGCGGGATTCTCCGCCTGCAGCTTCTTCATCATCTCCACATTCTCCATGCGGTGCATGATGCCAATCATCTTGATCTTCTTCTGCATCAGCTGCATCATCATCTGCCAGCCAATGCCCGTGAAGCTGCCAGCATAGACTACATTCTTGCCAGTCCAATCAAACATTTTGTATGCGGAATTGTTAGCTTTTTAGCGGAGTAGTAAAATGGGAGGACTCGCAGCGAGTGTTGTGTCTGACTGGTTGGCAGAACTGCTGGTTGGTCTTTTATAGGTTCAGAATGGCCCAACGCCTCCAGATGTCCAGATCAGGGCAGAGTCTCCAATGCACAGGGAAAGCGAGAGAGAGGGAGAGAGATTACTTTTGTTTATGCCAAATGCAATCTATTGATGGTTGCTGTCTACGGTTGGGGGGGTCATCTCTGGTCAAAGTTCAATGCATTTGCAGATACCCGAATTGGGGTGACGTCTCGAAAGTCCAGCTGTTGCCAGTTGCCGCTGCCTCCAGATAAGATCGCTATCGGCCTTGAGGGCGTTGCCGTTTGGATTTACCACCTGACATACAATGTATTGCTTGCCCATTTATCAGTTTTGCTATTTATTATAAATTATTATAAATCTAAAGGCATTAAATATGCCATTAAATGTTGCAATATTTGGGTAAAGTTTCATCAGAATTGTTGGGCTATATTTGGAAGGTTTCTGTAACTGAAACGTGGGGAAAGGCGTACGTAGAGATTACCATACAACCTTTAGACACGCACTGAGAAAGGGCTTAAAGCAACCTACAGAACTCGAAAAGGTGAAAGCAGGAAGCAATCCTTGGAAGGAAATACATATCTCCTACAGATGGAAAAAAGTTAAATTTATGTTTTATTTCCTTTAATTTTATGGATGAAAAAGGGGCATCTTCTGCACTCCTTTTACATTTAACGATGGAGTGTGCCTTACCCCATGAATGCTGCTCCTTTTCTCAACACAAACATTGAGAAGTCTTAGGGATATATGTTATAAACGATGCTGGTAATAGTAAGCAACTGATGCCTCCAGAAAAGTCAAATGGTTTGCTCCCCTTTAAAATTGATCGAGTTTCTTATAAAATTGTTTAATAGATTTTTAGAAAAGATTTTTTTCTTAGACAATCACAGATGTTTAGATGCTACAATGAGGGCTACACATACGACTATGGAATACAATATATACAAAAGATGAACTCAAACAGCAGACAGCAAAGAGACAGACAGCTGCTGCTCCCGCTCTGAATAAATAATCTCTGAAATTCGCGTGGCAAGTATAGATGGGGGGAGAAGTGGTTGTCCGGCCCGTTAGTGCCCAAATCGCAGCAAAAGTAAACTGCAAATCAAAGCGATCGTCGCTGGGCCGCTTGCCAATCCTTTGGCACCTCCATCCGTATCCTGTGGTGCGGCTGTTGGCGGTTTGCTGCTAGTCCCCTCAGTGGTTGGCTCCGCATCGGAACGCAAATCCGGATTGTAGTCCCCACAGGTGGGAAAGTGCTCCGGCACGGGCACCATTTGATCGTCGTCGCCTACCTTGAAGACCAGAGCCATGCCAATCTCCGCATGAAACTCAATGTGGCAGTGGAAGAGCCAATAGCCAGGATTGTAGGCCTCAAAGCGAATGATGGTGTAGCCACCATCGGGAATGGTTACTGTATCCTTCACAGGAGGATTGACAAAGTTGCGTTTTAGCAAATTGAAACGATCCAGGGATTTGATCTGAGGAAAGGGGAATTAATTAAAGAAAATTTGGAAAATTGTAAAGCAGCTTCTGAGAGCAATTTCTCACCATTTCGATGGTCACATTCTCGCCCAATCTCTCCAGTGCCAGCACTCGAAATGCATTGCCATGCAAGTGGAAAGGATGATTCGCATAATACTGGAAACCCTCGTCCACAATGATTAGCTCCACCACCGCATTGAGTGGCACTTGCAGCACATGGTGGCACTTGCAGAACTCTGTGCGGCAATCGATGCCCTGCGCCGCGAGACTTGTCTCGTTGCAAAAATCAGCGTCGTTTAGTTGTCGGCGGGAAGGCAGCAACGCCAGCGATGGAAACTTCAGGGTTATGTGATTCAATTGTGGCGTGTAGAGGCGATTCGATTGCGTCATATTCATGTCCATGGCATAGAGATCTTTGTCGTGGAACTCTGGATTATTCTTGGCATAGAAATCGTAGTACACAAAGAACTTGAAGTCAGCCTCCGGCTGGAGCGTGTCATGATCGATGCCCGGCACTTGATCGTAGATGGGCAACGCTCGCATCTCAGCCACAGTTTTGGTGTCCGGATAGCCCGGTCCACGGTTCATTACATTCAGTTCAATGCCCTCCGCCTTGTGGGCGTAACTGAGCGCCGCGCTGGGCTCCTCATCGGGTGCGCCTTCGTACCGCAAAATGGCCACTTGGAAGGCGGAGGTGAAGACCTCGCTGCAGTCCATTAAGCCCTTGAGGCGCACCCAATAGTTGCCCACCGCCTGATTGGCATGCAGCACAAAATCAAAGCGTTCCCCGGCATATGTCACAATGGAACCCACTTCCATGGCCTCAATGTCAAAGCCATCCGAATTGATGGCCGTCAGATTATGCCCATCCACCGAAACGACAATCGGACAATTGAGATACTCCGCATTGATGATCCTGAAACGATAGCGCAGGCCACGCTGCACATTGTACACCTGATGGGGCACCAGTTCGAGGGGAATCTCATTGAGATTTCCACGCTTTTGCCGCAACAGTTGCACCGGAAAGAGTCGCGTGGTATTGGTGTTGTTGTTCTTGGCCAGACGTGCGCTTCGTGGCAAAGTTTGTACCAAATCCACCTCGGATTTGGGCAGCGGCTCTAACGGCTTCGTGCTCGTCTTGCCTCTGGCCACCTGATGCTCCTTTTTGGCCTCTGCCCAGATGCGATTGTAATAGCGTCCCCGGCCATTGACCAACAGATTGTGCGGCTTATTGTCGCCTCGAGAGTGATGATGACTCGCAAAGATGCTGGCCCCGGGCTCGTGTATCCAGTCCTGGACAATCATCACATGTTCGCTGAGATCCAGATCGTACAGTCGGCCGTGGGGCTCTGCACTCTTTGGTTTCCTGATGATCAGTGCCCCAAAAACTCCATCGCCACGCTGCATGCCCGTGTGCGAGTGCCAGAAATGAGTGCCCGAGAGATCCGCTGGGAAACTGTAACGGAATGTGGCATGCGGCGTAATGGGGCACTGCGTAATGTGCGGCACACCGTCCATGTAGGGCGTATTCTTCTGATGCAGTCCATGCCAGTGGATGGAGGTGCTCTCCCCGAGCAGACTGTTCTTCACATCCACCACGATGCGATCACCTTCGCAGACCTCTATGGCGGGCCCTGGCATCATGCGATTCACCACAGTGATGCCACGCTCCAGGCCATCTCCCATGATGCAGTGTGGCCGCGAGCAATCCGTCAGATTTCGTGGACAATCGTAGCAGGCCTTGGCGAAGGTCTGATACCATTCCACAACAAAATTGTAGCGGCAAGTGAGGGGTTCCCCGCCTGCTTGACAATCGCGACGACAGGGATGCTGTCGGTACCATTCGGCAGTCCAAGTGTCCTCCGAGCCCTCCAAGTCACCCACTGCATCGAACGGCTCCACTCGCGACGCTTTTAGGGGACTTGGACGACAAAAGGGGCAACAGTTCCGCAGCTCCACCCTCGAGGCGGGACACTCCTCCTGCAGCGGCGGACAATTGCGCTGATACGTGTTGATAATAATCTGGCCAGTGTCCAAACGGCCACACTCGAGGAGGGTACAGTCGGCATCGTTGTGCCAGGACTCACCCACCGCATACAGGGTATTATTATGCTGGCAATGGGTGCGCACGCACTCGCCACAGCAGCTGCCAGCGGTTGAGCGTAGCTCCGAGCCCTAAAAAGAGTATCCATAAATTATTACTCTATCAATAGCTAATGACTGGGAATATCCTCACCACTTCACAGTAGAACTCATTGCAATCGACTTGTGTGACGACAATATGCGCCTGCGGATCCGTGGCCACGCCCGCGGCACACGAGTACACCAGACAGGGATCCTGTGAGGCAAACCACACGGCACCCAGCTCCCGGCGGTAAGTTACATTGTGCTCTTGATATAAACAAAATGTAACGCCTGGAATTTGGGGGGAAACTTATATTAAAGTACAAGAAATTAAAGAATTTTCCAGCGCTCTACAGAGAACAGATTTTCGAGCTTTGTTTTGCTCTGACAAACAATTGTTTTAGTGACACAATCCCTCCAGCAAATATAATTCTTATGGCAATAAACAATGTCAAAAAAAGAGCAATCAACAGACAAATGGAAGAAATTTGTGAGCTGTGAGCTGAATACCCCCAAAAATATAAAAAACAAACTCCTTTTGTTGTCACATCACGCGCCAGAGATTCGTAATTTACGAGATCATTATTTGAATGCAGTGAGTAAATGCGAGCGTGATTACGAGTGCAAACATAAGCAAGTAAATCTGTATTTTTGGTTTATTATTTAGTGGCTAAGTGTGTAATACACGTGCTAATTAGCTACAGGCTGCAGGGGTACTTGAACTTGGAAAAAGTGGGACAAGTTGTAACGAAAACCAGAACTTTAATCGTTTTAAAAGATTGATAAAAATAAAGATATCTATGTTGTTATCTCTCAAAGATAATACCCAATTTTGATTAAATTTTCAGCAAAATTATAGCACTAATTTGATTCCAAATCTTAACAAAAATTCTTTAAAATTGAATGCGGAGCAGCGTAAATCGTCGATCAGATTGTATAAAGAATTTTAGTTCCCACATTTACTCAACATTCCCTCCCAATCCCTCAGAGTCTGTTACTCTCTCTTTCTGATGACAGCTAAAAATACGCTTGGTAACAATATCTAGTATTAACCTCAGAAATCTGTGATGATGCATCAACACCTGTCAGTCGCTGAACATCTGGTCCGATTACCTGTTCCTTCTTTCCTATGTAGATTAAAGCAACTGAGAACAGAACAGTTAAGAGGTGCGCTACGGAATGCTAATTAAAATGACATCAAGACCCGGATTGCGGGTCAAGTATAGGTATAGGTCTGCCACCTGATCCGGTTGCTGTCTATGGCAATTGGCAGGCCTTAACCGATGATTAAGGTACTGTTTTTCCCCAGACATACTCACTCTACGCCTCTATCCCCTTTTGGTGCTATGCCTAAGCATGAGTCGATCGATCGATCGAAATTCGCCTTTAAAAGATTCGATAATCTACACAGAACCCGCCCTCTATAAATGTAGCCCATACAAATGGTTTAACTGTAGGTCAAAGCCAAAGAAAAAACATGTCCACGATCACGTTCTGATGAAAATTTCAGCGAATGAGAAATCTCAGGTGCTCAAAAATACACTCTCACATTAAAAACAAATTAAATTAACGACAGGCATTTGACGGGAGATTACAATGTGGTGGGAAAGATAAGCCCTAGCCGATAGGTACTTTATGAGCTGCTAGATCTTAGATTGCAATCAGTGGGACATTAAAGTGCAATATTTTGCACAAATAAAACACAATTAAAGGTTTAAATTTATACAATTAATTAACTGACAAACACTCCTGTCCAATGTTCCGAGAAGCTGGCAGTTGAATCGGAACCAACAATCAACGATACCGGGCTACACCTCACGCAGCGTTTAGGGGAAGTCGACAATCAATCGACACTGGCAATTTCTCTCCCTCTTGGTGATGTTTCAATGACGGACGAGACGATGTCCACGTTCCCCGATGACTCTTTCTTTGCCGGAAATGAGCGAAGGAAGCCACGGCGAAAAGCTTCTTAGACGACAAGACCATATCTTCGTGTGCTTAGTCCAACGGTGACTCGGACAGGACCATACACAGTCAGGAAAAGCTCCAATAAATTCCCAGACAATCGCCAACAATGTCGAAATTTTCAACAATTTAAAACATTTTCTTTTCCATTAGGTTGATATTTGGAAGGGAAAATTTTACAAAATATTTCTTATTGTTTTGAGGCTTTTTACCACAGATAGAAGCAGGCCTAAGGTTTTGTTTTAATATAAATTAGACTTTAAAAAACTTTAAACTTCCCTTCAAAAAAGAGGATTATTTATGGGAAATAAAGTTTTGGTCTTGGCATGAAATATGGTTCTCAGTTCTCAATATGAGAGCCCTCCTACATCCTGGTTGGGTGGGTTGTTTTCTTTCCTTTATTTATATTTTATTTTTTACACGCATGTTTTTATTTTTTGTTGATTTACAAGAGGCAAAGAAGTGGAAAGAGGCGTGCGCTGTCAGCAGCTGTTTGGCATATAAATTATTTTTGTGAGTGCTGCACGTAGCATGGTGCCTCCTCCTCCGCTCCTCCTTTAGCGCTGGCTGCCTGTCTGTCTGTCAGTTAACCATTAAGGCCGCATTTATTGACTGCTTTTGTGAGGGCTTGGGCCTGGTCGCTGGGCTTTGGGCTTTGGGCCTGCATCGTTTATTGGCTCGTTATGGCCATTATTATGATTGCCTCCGACTGTTTGTTGGCGCATTTGTTTAAACCATCAACCATTTCGTTGATTATTTGCCGGACTTGCGCAAATTCACATGCCCTGGCGACGGGGGGTAGGCTCTCAGTATTTTTAGCATGTGAGTGGCAATCAGCATTTATCGTGTACATTGTCTAAGGAAAATACTCTCGCACTTCGACACAATCTCATACCTGTGAGCATGTGCACATATTTTTTATTTAATGCTAATGCCCCGCCATAATGTTGGCCAAGGTCGAAACTCGTTAATTGCCCACTTCTGAAGCTTCTTACAGGTTTATGCATATATACATTTCTTTCTGGGATACCCAGTGGGTAATGAGGGGAAGGGTGTGTTGTTTATGTGGATTTGTAGAAGGAAGCCTTTGCTAACCACTAAACTATATTTTCGCCACGAATATTTTATTTTCTTATCAAAATTCCTTCTAAGTGGTTTTCACCAATTTGCCAAGCATTTTTATTATTCAATTTATGTTATAATATTTAATTTTCCTATCAAAATTCTTTTTAAATAACCTTCCACAAATTTCCTAAGCACAAAAAAAACCCCACTCACCTGCTGTAGAATTTGCAGTTTTCAAGCCTGCCGTAGAATTTACAGTTTGAGTGCCCGCTGTCGCATTTACAGTGTCCAAGCCGCTGGCCCGACTCGCAACCTGTAAGAGCACTGTTAAGGAACATGCCAGCAGCACTGTTAAGCCTCTGTTGGCCGCCCGCATGCTGTAGAATCTGGTTTTTGCTGCTTTTGTTGTTGCTGCTGCTGCTGTTGCTGCCGCTGCTTCTGTTGCTGCTGTCGACAAACTCATTTTGTCATAATTATGGTTTACGTTTATTTAATTTGCGGTTATTGTTTTTCTTTCTATTGCTGGCGCTCGCACCGTCTTTTTTTCCTCCTATTTTAGTGGTAATTGTCTTTAATTCAACTTTTTTTTGTCTTTTGGGAAGTCGGCGGAATTATTGGAATCGCTTTGCGGAAGTTGTTGTGGATTTTGGCCAACAACTATATGCCTTGATTGCCTGAAAATGCGAGAAAAATAAATTATTAATACTTATAGGATTCGGAATCAAGCTGAAATTTCCGACCGATACGATTATTATATGTATTTATACAGTTGGTTGATCTTTCGGCATTTAATAAGCGAGTTGTTGTTTTTTTTTATATTATTTTTGCAGATGTTATTATGTAGAATATTCACCCAAAACGAGTTGCTCCCACATTAAAGATGTTTTTGTTTGAAATTTTTAAGAGCCATTTCTGATGTTTATCGCGACTGAGAAGAAATGGTTGGATGTGTGGGGGTTCAAGGCCAGCTTAGGAAATGGACAGTTATGGCTGACATAGTGCGAATAGTAATTGGCATATTGATATTACTAGGAAAAAAATTATGGGTAAGAAATTGCTGCATAATTTATTTGTTTAATTGATTAGGAATTAGTTCATTTTTGCAGATGTCTTCCAGTATTTTGTATAATATTGTTAAAAATGATAGACTTTATATTCTAAATGCTTCTTCTGTATATTCTCCTTTTCCCCACAATCATCTTCATTCCCATAATATTTTCTTTCTAATTAACAATAACAATAACGCCTAAATTCTGCCATGGGTTATGCCTGTCCCCAAATCAATCGAAATCCCCGAGGCCCTAACCTAACCCCAAGCATCCTTTATTGACCCACGCTCGCGTCCAAGAGTCGACAGGGAAGTCCGACACGCACATGGCCGAAAGGGCGGAAAACATCTGAGGGAATTTATATTGTATATTGTATATTAAGTTAAGTATGATTTACGGCCTGACTGTAAATATCACTCATACGCGCTGTGGTGCCTTGGCCTAGGCGAAAGGGAGCATCCGACTGTGGGACTGTGTGCATTTGAGCCCTATCAGCACATGGCCAGCATGTTGATTCGCTCAAGAAATACACACACACACACAAACACACAGACATACAGCACGTACAAATTTAATTAATTAGCACGCTGTTCCTTAAACACATAGACACAGGCAGACCAACAGGCAGACACAGACACAACCCATAGAGTAACGACAGGCACAGGACTCACGTTCGTAAGCCAAAAGTCCAGCCAGTGTCCAGGGAGACACACAGCAGGAACAGGCAGGGGTGGGGGCATATAAAGAAAACGGCGCATAAATTATGAAAAAGCAAAAACACAAAAATATAGGACGCAAAAAATTGCGTAAGGCATTTTTCATACCATAAAGTTTGCCTTACGGCTGTCATTTTCTTTGGGGATGCTGCTGCCAAGGGGATTCCCATTAAGGCAACATTTTCATTGAGACTCATGAAATATGTTCTTTGAAGAATACGAATATCGAACCCACCTTTATCGCTCAGAATAATATAATTATTTTAGTTACTTTACCTGCCTAATATGTCGATAGAGCATTTATTCTTCTTTACATTCCCGCTATAGCCTGCTTCAGAGACTTTCCATAACGGCCACTTTTATTTGGCAAACACTTCAAGCATCTTAAAGATTTATGTACTACCTTGGGGGCTACCTGTGGGGCTGCTTCTGTGTTGTGTTCCCGAACGCACTTCCGTTAATTAGGAATTAAGTGTCCGCCTACGTGGCACTTCATAAAAGTCGTCACAAGGAAAACAAAATAAAAACGAAACCTTGAAAACCCCTGGAAACTCCGAAAGCCCTGAAACATCGCCGAAAACCCCGAAATTCAATGTAAGTCTATTAAAAAGATATGAGCAGATATTTAGCGGATAATTTAATTTTCAAATGCGAGACGAAACTTTGTTTGTTAATTAATGGTTTCGGGTGTGGGGGATGTCTCCGGCATTAATCAATCAAAAGAGCAAATATTTGATGGGGTATACAAAAGTGAATGGCGCTTCGTACTTAGGGTTCCCCCTTTGAATCGCATTCTGATACAAATATATCTTTAATCATCTCTGAAGTGTATATATCTCAAGCGGGATTTTCTTTTATTTACGGACATGACTAAACGATTTGATTACGCCTACTGTCAATTGTCTAATAACTTTGACAATTACTTGGACAATCACTTTAATTAACATGCATATTTGGCTTTTGACGCGAGGAACGTCACGTGGACTCAACACTCAACGTTCGCAGCGATTACTCATTTTCTACATGGTCTAAATGCTTGATTTGATCTATAATTAAAATCCCCACAGGGATTACCCTCTGAAAATTAACACCCAGCCCAGGGGGAATGTCGCAGGCAGTTTTGTAATTTCTTTGCGGTGTTCGGATTTTTCGATTTGACTAAAGTGTGGGTTGGGTTTGCTGTTCTGCTTCAGTGGCCGCTGAATAGAATTTCCATAATTTAATCTTGAGATAATGTAACAATGATATCATTAGTTGATCGTGAATAATAAAGGGAAGGCCAATCAAGGCAGTTCTTGGGAATTTTTATAGATTAAAGTTTGGAGTTTTTGGGAATTTTTATAGACTAAAGTTGGGAGTTCTTGGATATTTTTATAGACTAAACATGTGAGTTCTTGGGAATTTGTATAGGTAAAAGTTTGGGGATTTGGGAATTTTTACAGATTTAAGTTTGGGGTTTTGGGATTTTTTTTTAATGTATGTATGTAAATTTTTCCACGTTGAGAAAACCTAGTGAACCTTCAATTTGGGTTCCAAATACTTTTTTGAAAACTCTATTCATAAATAAATGGAAGTAATTTGAATAAAGCTCAAGTAGCCCTAGACTTTTTAATTGTTAAAAAAAAAAAAAAAAAAATTAAGATGAACTAAAACTGTTTAAAAGGAAGCCACCTCGAAGTGTCACTTAATTAAGTGTTACTTATTGACATTCCACTGTTAAAAGCGATCCGATTCTGCAGCGTCTCTGCAGAGACAAATTTTATGAAGCTGCTCTCTTTTTTTTATGGGCAATTTCTTTTTGATGGAGACAACAACTAAAATTTCACCGCCAAATTAATCTGGCAATTGTTGTTATGCAAAGTTTTGTTATTATTTATTTGGATTTTTGACTTTTTTTGTATACGTACGGAATCACACGTCCGTAAAATGATTGCATAATACATAGCGCAGTGCTTTCCGCTTCACGTTTTTACATATAATTAAAACTATCGAGAGAGGGCTTAAGTATTGTAATTTGATTTATTTTTGTGAGCGTCTTCGGCCACTTATTTTTGACAACAATTAGCTGACCGCATTTTGATTGCTTTGTTTGGCTTGTTGGCTTTTTGGCTGTTGTTGTCTCTCTGCGCCAACATTTTTGTTGAGGTAGGCAAGCAATCAGATAAAAGATGTGGCCAAAAAAGAGAGAGAGAGAAGAAGGTGAATGGAAGATTTTTAAGCCGCTTATCATATGAAACCTTTTCCCCCCCGTTTGTGATTCCTGTTTTCTCCTCGCTCGGGAAATCCCTGACATGTCTCGTCATACATTGTGTTGACTGCCTGGTTCTGGTCATCATGTGCTAGCTAGCCATGGCCAAGCCGGTTTCTGTGGAACCAGTCTTTAAGTATTTCTCTCTCATTACAAGACACACACAAACCCATACAAAACCCAAAATAAACTACGCTCTGGGGTCAGCTGTGAGGCGGAGTTACGTGCCACCATAACCACACACAAATATTTACCCAATTTGTTTATGCTTATTCACATTTGTTAACCATATTTTTAGTGTATAATTTTGACTCATGATTGATGAAGATCGAGGGATTGAGGTGTTTTGTCTTGCGAATAGAATCTTTGGGTTGCAGCAATTATTTATGGGCGCTGCTTGTGGGATTTATTTTTCAATGTCAAGGCCGTTTGTAAGTGTGTTTGGGGTAGAAGTAGAGGTTTCTGAACACTGGGAATTGAAGCTGTGGGGTTTCTGTAGCTTTTTGTGTAGTATTGTATAAGATTGTAGCTTCTTGTGTGGGTCAACATGACTTATGAAGCATGACATTATTTTTTTATGATATTTTTCATGCCTTTTGGAAGACTTTCAATTGTGGATGGAGTTTCAGGTTTATTTTGTTGCATGATTCCATATGGCCAATAGCCAATAGATGAGTCTTTAAAGGTATTTATAGATAATTAAAAATAACCCAAGTTATGATATATGAAGAGTGAATAGTTTTTTCTCTAATTTTTTGGGAATTATAAAAGTTAGTTATTAGTTCGCTGTTTTTTCATCTTTTGGTGATAAATCTGTTGTCAGATTTAATTGTTATCAGCTTTAATTATCATCAGATTACATTTTTTTCAAACACATAGCTAAAAATCCATAAATTCTTTCAGATATTCTCAATTATTTCACTTTACTCTCAAATCCAATTTCACAATTATCCAATTGTATAATTTTTGTATCAAGGTTTTTGTTTATAAAACCATCTTTATGGAACACAATTAGAGCATTTATGGTAGACTTGGATTGTGTTTTTGATAGCCACCCAGCCAAGTTCACGATTGTACTCTTGGCTCATGGCTCTTGGACTTATCCCAGCGATGGATGGGACTTATCACACGACTGGCTGGGCCTTATGATATCACTAAATACACAGCGCGAACAGAATTTTATGGCATCTTAGATTAGGATTTTCGGTTAGGTTTCCGTCTCAAACGCAGCGAGGGGAATCGCAAAGTCCTTACAAGGTTTCCACAGGAAGTGATCGTTTTTCTTTTATTTTTGTCTTCGAACAGCTTTTAAGTTCGATCCGCACCGTTCGCCGATTAAACCGCAACTAACTCGCGCCGAGTGCAGCTAAGGCGCTTTTGAAGCGGCAGAAAACGCGCTAAAACTGAAGCAGGCCCAGTCTATGGCTAAGAGTTGACTCGACTCGACTCGACCCTTTCTTGGCTGCTTCTACGTTCGGCTGATAACAGTTCGCGCGGCCTGAGCA